AGGGTCACAGCTGCTTCACCATGGTCTCACCAAGGCCTGCAGAGGAATCTCAGCTCCGGTGCCTGGAGCACCTCCTGCCCCTCCTTCTCCACTGACCTTGGTGTCCCCATGTTGTTTCCCTCACATGTTCTCACCTCCTTCTCTTCTCTGATTAGGAGCAAAAACCCTGTGACTTTGTTTTGGTTTTCTTCTTAAATATGTCATCACAGAGGCATTTCCACCAACTCCAGTTGGCTCAGTTTTGGCCAGCAGCATGTTCATCTTCAGAGCCATCAGTGAATGGCTCTGCTGGAAGCTTCCATCAGCTTCTCACAGCAGCCACCTCTGTGGCCCCTCCACTACCAGGCTGAGCAAAACAAACAAACATAAGGTTAAAGGCAACTGATGAGAATTTGCATGAACTGTTTGTGAAGAACTGTCATTTATTTCTCTAACTTTCCCAAATTCCAGTAATCTTTAAATGTATACCTTAATTTTAGTGTATTCCTGTGAAAATATTTGGGACTTCCGCTGCTCCCTTCTACAATATTAAGAAGGGATTTTTTAGAACTACAATAACTGTCTCACCTATTTATTATTGAATTACATTTTTTCTCAATAGAAAATTAAAAATAAATATGTATATGTGAGCAGTATCTGTGATAGTGATTTTTGGTGCTACTTTTGACTTAATTATTTCTCTAGGTGAATTGGGTCTGTTATTTTAATCAAGAAGAAAGATGTATGTGCAGCAAGAAAATGTATGTGCAGATCTCTGTGTGTTAAGAGGGAAAATGAATGGAACAAGTTTGTTAGAAATTAACTTAAGGTTCCCATCTTAAATGTGTATTTAGGTTCTTGCGCATACTTTTGGCTAGGGTTTGTGCTGTGTGTCTCATCTGATTATGTGTGAGCAGCCAAAGATAAAACAGTCTTGCAGACTGTATGCAAAGCAGCACTTGCATCAAAGTCATGAATCTAGAGAAAGTTTTGAAAAATTCCTGTTAGAGATTTGGCTTCTCAGATGGGCAGATTATTGTTCAGCTCTTTAGGACTCACTGGAAACCTTTTATTTGTTAAAGAGACTATCTGTTAAGTATGTGTACATGGGTGGATTTGAATGATTGGAACACCAGGACTCTTCTTGGTCTTTCACAACAACAATTTCTTTCCCTTTGGGACACAGTTTTTTCTTTTATATGCATTCATGCCATAGTTACAGTGTCGAGATTTCCCTTAACTGCAATTTAACTGGGAGGAGGAACTTGTTCCTTCTTCCCGTCAAGTGGTGTAAATATCTAAGTTATGAGCATGGGATTCTGGTCAGAATAATGCTCTTTTGTTTTAGAAGGGTAATCAAGTGTATACTTGTCAAAAACAAGTCATTATCTTCTTTTTCTCTTAGAGCCACTGGGAACTTGTCCAGCTTCCTGGGAACGACTGGAAGGGTTATTGGGTTTTTTTTTGTTAACTGGAAAAGGTTTCCCATCTTTTTTACCATATCCAGCTTGCCTGTTCTGGCCTGCTTTAGAAACTTTGGACCCTACTTGCTAAAGGCATTTGTAAGCTGCACAGTCCTTGTCAGGTCCTGATGTAACTTCTGAGGTGAAACGTCTTTGCCCATTTCTAATGTATGGATGGGTTTCTTTCCTACTCAATTAGAATCAAAGAAATGAATATCAAGCCTTATAATTTGTTTCTAGTAAATCAAACAGATGGTAGGAAGGCCCCTTTTCTCTTCCTGTTAAAAAAAAAAAAAAAAAAAAAAAGGTAAAAAAAGGTTAAAAAAAAAGCTTTTGGGTCTTGTAATTTAGTTGCCAGTCAAATTATCTTACTTTTCTCTTACACAGTTTCTTAAATTATGGAGTGCTTTAGGAGCAGCACTGCTAAGTAACAGTGTGCAATTAATAACATTCATAACATTTTCCCAACACAGAGAGGACATCAACCTGCTCAAGTGAGCACGTCCAGAGAAGGGTCACCAAGATGACTGGAGGGATGCAGCACCTCTCCTGTCAGGAGAGGCTGAGAGAATTGGGTTTGTTCAACCTGGAAAAGAGAAGGCTTTGGCGTGACTTAACTGCAGCCTTCCAGCACTTGAAGGAAGCCTATAAGAATGATGGAGAAAGACTTTTTGCAAGAGCAGGTAGTGACAGGATGAGGAGGAATGGCTTCAAACTCAAAGACAGAAGGTTTAGATTAGATGTTAGGATGCAATCTTTTCTGGGAGGGTGGTGAGGCTCTGGAACAGGTTTCCCAGAGAAGCTGTGGACTCCCCAGCCCTGGAGGTGCTCAAGATCAGTCTGGATGGGGCTCTGAGCAACCTGGTCTGTTGGAAAGTGCTCCTTCCCACAGCGGCAGGGTTGGAACTACGTGATCTTTGAGGTCCTTTCTGACACAAGCCATTCTACAATTCTAAGAACATTGCATATCCTAGATGATATTAAAAAGGTAGATTTGGTTAGTATAAGTGGAGCTGAGTTTCTGGAATTCAAATATTTATTGAAAATAGAGAATATGTTTTTTAAACAAATACATAGATGTAAACTTCCAAATTAATCGGTGCTGGACATCTTCCAGAGACATGTTCAGTCTGATAAAATTACTCTTAAGAAAAATGGGAACTTTTCAATGGTTTGAATTGGAGATAGTACTGTTTGTCCAGGGCAAACAAAATAAAATAAATACTTTAAGTTGTTCTCAGGAAAGGAAGTTGCTGGCTCTACTCAGAATCTAAAATTAAATTCTGCTGCAGCACATAATCTTATTTTAGCCTTGTAGGAAGCTGTGCTCATATTCTTTGGCCAAAATTTAACTCATATACATTTTCCTTACTGAAGTGATTTGTAAAAGAGAATATTGTCTAAATGTGACATTTCTGGTTTTTTAAGTGATTGGAGAAAGCAGGAATTACAATCTTTATTGTATATTTTCCACAATAGACCTGCAGACTGTTCTGTGAGCCTATTTATGAGGCATGGAGTTACTTTTGTTTCGCTTAACCAAGTGGCTGAAATGTTGCCACCAGTATGTCTGGAATGTTATTTGCTTGGTCTATTTCTGCAGTTTTTCTTTGTACCACTGTACACATGCCACAACTGGAGGTCATTTACTTAAAACTGACCAAAATAATACCCTCAAAATTGTAGTTATTGTTCTCATCAGGGACTTTATAATAAAAGATTTATCGTGTTCTGCACTCAGACTTTTCCCCATCTCTCTCTCCCTTCATTCTTTTAATCAGAATTCCTTTTGGCAAAGATTTGGAGAGCTGCTGGTTTTACTTGCGTTTTTTGTGTTACTTGATTCCTTGATTTAGTACTTTAATGTCTTACATTGTGTCTTACAATGCTGTCTGATTGAAATGTGTTAACTTCCTTGGCTGGGTAACTACTTCTTTTTATAAGGAGATATTTGTTGAGTATGTTTTTCTATCTACGTGTGTATCATATTTTATGATTCCAGTACCAGACATCGAGCTGGTTCCAAGAAAACTGTGGGTGTTTTAACATTTCCAACAGAAGGTGGGATAGGTGGGGAAGCGTTTTGGAATGCTGACAAATAATATTTGACTCTTGGAAATGTCTTAATGCCATAGACTCCCCTCCCATGCTTGGAAGGCTAGACCTAAAAGACCTCTGGTCTTGAAGGTATGCTTGTGTTTTATTTGTAACTGAGAGAAAAGTGAGAGAAGAGTTGAAATACAGATCATGGATAGCATAGGTTAATGCTGGAACATTCTGTGAATGGTGGTTTTGGTTTCTGTCCTTGCTACTCCCATCTGTGACACGGTGCCCTGTTAACCCCTTGGATATTAGTCGGAAAGGTTAATTCTGCTACTTTTATTTCCTCGATGTACTTAGTTTCAAAGTTGTGTCCGTTTCGAGATGTTAAGGTCTGTAAAGTCTATTAGCATAGCACAAATTGCCTTACAATAGCACATGAGTTGGGAACTGCAGTAACTTGCAGTTCAGGGTATTTTCAATAGCAGAGTGACAACTCATAACAGTTTTCCCCTGCAATTTCTTCTTCTTGCTTGAGTACAAAGCAGAGTAGATACAGACTGAATTGTTCCCCTGCTGTTGTGAAAAGTAGATATCTACTGCTTATTGCTTCTTTGGTTGTTGTAAAATATGTGTTCCTATCTCTACATTTGCAAAAATGATCAACTTTTATCACAAGATGGTATCTTAGCTTGTTTGAAGTTTTGACAAACACATGTGCTTTACTCTGTATGATAATTTCTACTTTTGGATACTGATTTGTTTTCTTTATTAAGTGTTTCTCCTTTATTTATTTCCATCTTTGATCATTTAAATGATAAATACTTGTCAATATTAATACTGCTTGTATTTTGTTATCCTGGCTTATATATAAATGTTTCTATTGAAATAAATCAGACTTGTAACATGAAAAATATAAAACTTTGGTTGAAGTTACTTCTTACAATTAATAGCTGTTTGATGGTCAAATACCTTACAGCTGTATGGTAGAATTTTAGTTTGATTTTCTTCCAACCAGCAATAAAGTACGACTTAATTCCTACAAATTCCTGAGATATAAACTATTAGTCATGACCTAGCATGCATACACTAGTAAGAAGCTAACAGGCTAATAAAGCTGACCTGAAGGGAGCCTGCAAGAAAGATGGAGAGAGACTATTTATGGAGCATGTAGTGACAGGACAAGGTGGAATGGCTTCAAGCTGAAAGGGAATCGGTTTAGGTTGAATATTAGGAGAAAGTTCTTCCTTCTGGGGATGGTGAGGCACTGGCACAGGTTTCCCAGGGAAGCTGTGGATGCCCAATCCCTGCAAGTGTTCCAGGACAGTTTGGATGTGTCTCTGAGCTACTGAGACTAATGAAAGGTGTCCCTGTTTACAGCAGGAGAGTTGGAATCAGGGGATCTTCAAGGTCCCATCCAATTCAGGCCATTCTTTGGTTGTGTTATTATTATGTCCATGCAAAATACATGTTCTAACAGGTCAGTAATGGATTCTGTCACTTATTTCTCTCATGCAGCCCACACATCATCTTTCTGTCACAAAGTGTACTGCCAGGAGGAAGCCATCTCTGTGGAACTCGTCTGTGCCACGAAATTGCTCATGCTTGGTTTGGACTGGCCATTGGTGCTCGTGATTGGACAGAAGAGTGGATAAGTGAAGGGTTTGCCACTTTTTTAGAAGATATATTTTGGGCTAGGGCACAACAGGTAAGGTGATGACATGTTGCTTCAAAATTAATATGGAAATCAAAATTATATGTGAATTAGATATAAATTAAACCCCAAAACACAAACTGTGATATGAAGTAACATATTTTAAAATGGTATTGGAATTTGTATGCTTACTTGATTTAAAAAAAGAAAAAAAAAGGTGTTCCACAATGAATACAAATCTTTACAGAGGAAGCGAGTCAGTGCAAATGAGAATAGAAACATCTGTTTGTCAATGATTACCTTCCCACAAGTTTTATACTCAGTTATTAAATTCAATTATCAAAAAATTGCTGTGCATTCCTTCCACTTCTGTTGTATACCTGAAACTGGAAGAATGATCAGTCTTACTGCGTATTGTAATATTCCAGGCACCTAATAAAAATTGTTTGTTTTCGTCCAATGGGTGACCAAGAAGTGTACCTCAAAGCAAAATAGATGATTTTAAATGGGGCACACCTGGCACTTACACTTTTTTTTTCTCTTCCACTGCCCACCAAGTTACTGTCCTGTTAGAGACTTAGAAATCACTGCCCCCTGTCAGGTGAAAAGTTCATAAGTTGCATGTCAGCAAGTAAAGTGTTTTTCTGATGCAACTCTTACTTCTGTAGTACCTCTGCTACTTCAAGCATTTAATGTGTCAGTCCTTTCTTCCTGTACCTTCATCAGGTTCTGCCCCTTTAGTCTGCAGATTTCCATCTGAGGAAAAGCATGGTAGAACTGCTCCAAATCTCCATTTTATTAAGTATCTGGCATATTTATAGCACCAAACTAAACAGAGTACCTTGTTATGTACCATATTTCTGGAAAAAGAAAGAGAGAAAGGCTGTATAAACACTTGGCTTTTCCATTTTGGTTCTAAAACTCATTAGTGCCCTTACATTGAGCATAACTACACTGCCATGAGCTGTTCACATTAATTCTTTGCTTTTGTTAGTCACTTGAAAGCATTTTGATTGTAGTAGACATCTTTCTTGGAGCTGAGTGTAAAGGAGAAAACAAAAGAACAGTGTGATTGGTTCCCTTGTTATCATGTAAGACATACCTTTTGAACATTATTGAGTAGTTTTGATGCAATACAATCATAGAATTTAAGGATTATGAGTGTATTCCATAGTTCCTGAGAATAATTTCAGTTGTGATTGGATGTAATGCAGGGTAGTATTAGCTGCTTTTGCTTTCCCCAATTTCCCATCTATTCTTATAATAGAGAAACATAAATTATAATTATGTTCAAAACAATTATTTGTCAGCTGGCAACCTGGCATTTATTTCATAAGCAGGAATCTGTTAATATTACATAAATGGGGGAAAACACAACAGAGAGCTTTCAGAAGTATGGCAGAAATAGTAGGAAAGAGGAATGAAGCCAGGACACAATGTAGCTCTTTGCTCTCAATTTGGGAAGGGTAAGGATGGAACCAAAACCTCTATGTCAGGTATTCTACTGTAAATTCAGTTTGTTTCTTGCCATTCGCTAAAGGGAAAGCAACACGCCCATCTCTCTCCTCAGTCAGAGCTATTGAACTGACTATTGATTTGATGTGCACAGTGAGACTTTTGTTTTCCTTAGTGCTGCTATTATGTCTCACAGCAGCAACTGTTATTTTTTTATCATGGATATTGATACCCTTTCCTGCCTCTTCTGCACCTTAAAGAGAAACAAACCAAGTTTGTTGTTCTGCAAATTATTATTGTCTGTTGGGAAACAGCAATCAGTGATCTGTGTTTTTGTTTACTAAGTAGCTGTCACATGATGAAATAAAAGGACAACAGGAATTGAAAGCTTTACTTCGCTGGCGCCAACTCCGAGATGAGGTGCAAAACTCTGAAGAAGAGCTGCAAGTTTTAAGGTAACAATATGATAGCACCATCATCGCTTTTGTATTTTTGCTCTCTCCTGTTTTCCACATTTTCTCCCTTCAAAGGATATACATCCGAATCATCTCATTAAATCCACTGCATTTCCTTATTTCCTTCTAATAAAAAAAGAAAATGCAAATTAAACTGACTGGGTTATATATTTTGGCTGTAATACAATTGCTTCTCCCTTTGTTATAGAAAGTTTTTAGAAAACCATGGGATTATTTTGATATTAAATGTCTCTGAGCAGTTTACAAGACCTTCTATTCAGGGAAAAAATAAAAGACCATTTCCTGAAAAAGTTCACTGTTGGAAGCCATAACAGTGTCATTTTCTGTAGCTGAAGGCAATACATTAGTATGGTATTTAACTGCCAAGCTGAATGAAGCTTTAAAAAACAAGGAAAAAGTATAATATATAAACTTTATAAACCTATTTTCTGATTAGAAATTGCTAATAGTTATATTTAAAATAGATTTTTGGTCTTTAGGTGTCAGATGCTAAACTCAAGGCTTCTTTATAGATAGCTAAAGACAGTCTTCCTTTGCCAGTGATTAATAATCTGTTCTGATTGGTGTGATAGGAATTTTCAAACAGTCTTTGGTCTTGAATGTCTGTCTAATTCAAGATCCACTGAGCTTCTACAGCTTGTCTCCTCACAATATTCAACGAAGAATAATGAGTTTACTAATCCTAGTTCAAGTTAGCCATGATTTCTGACCAAATCTTGGAAGTACAGGGACAGATTTCAAACAATTATGTAGTCTATTCTCCTGCTCTAAAATAAAGGCAGAACACACAGACCATCCTAAGTGGGTTCTTATTAACACGTTCTTAGAAGGCTCCAATAAAAAAGTTTTCATAAGAGACAAGCTGTCTCAGTAAGATAGTTAGTGTTAAGAGTTAAAAATTGCTTCCTAATGCACAACTGAAATCCTGTTTATTTCAAACAATGTAGATTTCATTTCTTTCTGTCATCAAGTGGAAGTGAAGAATAAATTGTTGCCCGTCTTCTAGACGATCAACTTTTATATGTTTTTGGAACACTATTTCCATTTCATTAGTTTAAGATCTGCCCTTCTTCTTGTGCTTGCCCAGTAGAAACTAAAAGGCTCTACTATATTTGGACACTCTAGAGAGTGCTCACCGCCATGGAAGTCCCTCTTCAAGGCCTCATGTAATCCAAAAGCATATGACCATCTGTGTGACTGTAGTCTTCCACTGATCTGTTTTACTTTATATTTACTGATGAATTGTGTATCTATGTGTAAGCAGAGCCAATGAGGTTACACAGTTGTGTAAATGTTCAGGTGTGTAATTTGACCATAGTAGAAAATGCAAAGGCAAGCTTAATCACTAGTTGTTATACAGCTGCTGCCAACACAACTACCAATTTACATGCTGAGGTTTTTGTTTGGTTTAAATAATTTTTTTTCTGTTGGTTCCTGGGATATGATGCTTATTGGGGTTTTCCATTTTCAACATTATGGAATCACATTTGTTGTCTTTTGTATTTTTATATAGCTGTTACTTTTAATCAAATGTTACGTGGTGTACATTTTCAAAATAATTTTTCTAAGGGCCATAATCCTTTGTAGTTTGAAACTCAAGGAGGATTGATTTATTTTGAAAGCGAAACTTATACTTTCTATTGACTTGCACATTTTTCTACATAATAATAAGCATTTTTCTAACCTTTTGGATAGTGGTATTCCTAATGCTAATACAAAAGAGCAAAAAATTTTTCATTTAAAAAATGTGTCTCCAATAAACACTTCAGGCCAGGCACATGATGCCACCTTGTGATTCTGGCCATTTCTTCTTCTCTGATATCTCTAGTTCCTTCTCTGATATCTCTAGTTCCTCTAACCATTTAAGAACTTCCTACTGATTTCAGTCAGATATAAATATTTTCTACTATTTTTGGGGCATGGACATGAATAAATTTTCTTTTTGCGTATTTACTGGGGTTTTTTTTCTTTTCTTCATCCTTCTGAAAATATGTCCTCATACTTTCCAAAATTGGCATGTAAGAGAGAAAATCTCTTGGTCTGGGTTCTGAGTCTGTACTGAGGCTGGTTCTAACTTGTGCTTTTATACAGAGTATTAAAGGTAAGTTATAACTATTTGTTACTTCTTGCCAATAATTTCAGGAAGAAGAAAACCAACCAACTCATTCTTCCCAAGCATAAGCTCATTTTTCCATTACTTTTTTTGTTGCCTGCTGATCATATGATTATTTGTGCTTTCTCCTGACAGCTGGAAAAGTTTGCCCCAAACTTACCAGCTGATCCTATCAATTTTTGATCCACCAAATGAATACCTTTTTAGACTGGGTGAAAGCCACTCAGCAAACTGATGATCAGCCTGATGTTTCTTCTTATTATGGGTACTTGGTGTTATGTTATAGTAAGTGGTATGTCATAGGCTACCTTTAAAAAAAAGGTCTGGTAAGAAAGAAATTGGATAAGTGTCTTTTCAACAGGCAGCAGCTCTGAAAGGCAGCTCGAGCAATCTTAACATTGAAGAAGAATTTTGTGGCACATCCATGCTCATACAGGATGAGGCTTCCAAGAGACCTGTGTCTATTTTCTCACAGAATTTGAAAGAGCCCTGCAGGGAAAAAAGCACCTATGAAAAAGGTCTTGCTACTCATTTTGCTGGTGATCATCAACACCAGTACTCTCACCCAGCACTCTCATCTCTCCTGTTAGGAAAGCAAAGAAGAGCATTCTGTTCTGCAGAATAAAGCTGGTGTTGATGCTTGTTTCATCTCCTGGCTCTTATGGCTGAACTGCATCTTGTGGTAATTCATTAAGTCAAGCCAATGTTGATATCTGACTCTAAATTACTCTCTTCCACTTGTGTCAGGTCCATTCTGTCCTGATGCTTCTGACTGCTCTGTAGGTGTTTGAAGAGTTTTATTCTATCTGGTAGGAAATATGCTTTCAGATGGTCTCTTACAGTCTCTGTGTAAGTTTTCATGACTACCTGGCACATCAGAACATTTAATTACCAAGGATATCCCAGTGCATTGTACTTTTACTAGTGCAATGTACGTATCATCCCAGCAAATAGAAAGCAGCATCTTCTACCTCCTTCAGAAATTTGCCAGTATCTAAAATGTACCAGATAGCATCTTGAGTATTTTGAGACTGCTTGTCTTTAGCATTATGGTAGACTTTATCTACCTGGTTAGATGCAGCTTTTGTAGGTCAGTGTAACAAAATTTCAATCTTTGTACTTTCAATGTCTGGTAAATACAGTAAACATTGCTTTAAAATATTGTTCTGAAGTCCTGATAGCAGAGAATAGTGTTACATTCTAAATAGTTACACTCCTTTACGGACATTTTCAAGAATATATATACAGCTTTTGCAGAGGAATGTGTATATGTTTTCTGTATGGAATTCTTCACTACCATCGTCCAGATGCAATACTTCTTTCTGGTCAGTCCTAAGATCTAGACAGGCGCAAAGTCAGAGGAGAAGGAAGTATGGTTGCCTAATTTAGAATAATTGTGATTATGAGAGAGATTTCAATTTAGTGTGGCTTCTGTAGCCTGTGCTCAAACTCCATTTATCAAAGTCAATAGATGGGGTATTTATTAAGGGAATTGAAGCAGATTTTGCATTTTATGCAAAATGATGAAAAGTCATGTATGGAATGTCAGCAGGTCTTTTTTCCAGGAGACTGTTCCAGAAGGGAAATTTCTGCTTTCCTACAGTGGGTCTGCAATGTTTACACAGTCTGAAAGGACTGGAGTTGCTATAGAATAAGGAAACAGTGACTGCTATTGTTCTTTCAATGTTGAGGGAAGATCTTACTGGAAAGATATTTATGAATGATAACATGGAACAGAACTGTGTCACAAACACAGCGTAAAATTCAATCTGTTTTTTTCTCTGTATTTTATTTCAAACAGTTTCAGTTTATGAAAATTTTGTGTATAGTGGATTTCATGTGCACAAGCCCTAATAATAATGCTGAAAAAATACCCTGATTTAGCACTCGGACAAAACTGTAATAAGAAACTGTGACACAGATATAAAAAAGGAAGAACACTTCCTTCAAATGAGACACAGATATAGAAAAAAAATTTGATTACAAAGCTCTTGAAATCACTCCTGCATGAGTGGTGTGGTTTGAAGGATCTTGCCTTACTGTGGCCCATATTTCCCCTATGCTGCAGAAATGAAGGGAAAGACATTTGGTTTTGAAGACTGGCCATTTCAAAATCCACATTTAGAATTGGAGAGGTTGTTTTAATCACAGGGTTAGGCTCCAAAGACAGGCTACTGTTCTCAGACTACTGTTAGTTGAGATGTTTTCTGAATGGAAGGAAAAAATCTAGATTATCTTCAGTACTATGCCTGTGAAAGCACTTCTTACAAATAAAGAAAAAATGCTTGCATAGCTTCTCTTTAGTTTCAGTCTGTGCTCTTTAGAGTCTAAAAGTCCTCCACACTTAACTGTTGTAGATCGTGGCATACCAGATGCAGTATTGCATTTTAAATCAGGCAGTAAATAGTATTTTTTTTCTAGACATTATTCTCTGTAAACCTCAAACCTGTGTGCAAAATTCTTCCGCTTTTAAAATTTGAACTACTTTTCTTCCAATCCAAATGGAAAAATGAAAATCAGAACACTTTCTGCAGCACTCTACTGTATGCAGATGAAAGAGGTTATTCTTGCAAGAAAAAAGAGAAAACTCTAGTTGAACATAGTGACTTCGCTGCCCTCCCCTCCACTTCCCCTTCTCATAAAATGTTTGTTTTGTTTATTTTTTTCTCTTTGTTCATAAGGTGTCTGCATTGGAAAATGACATGCAACCTAGTGTTGTGCTGACTGTAAAAAGACTACACCAACCTACTGATGAATTTTATTTTGAAGAAAATTGACTTGTTAGACTGTCTAAGTAAATTTATATTCTTATGGTGAAGAAAAAGACTAAATTAGTCGCAGGTGTTTAATGCCACACAATGCTTTCAACTATCAGAACCTGTAATGTATGACTTATCTCTTTACTTATCCAAAACTTAAGTAGTGTGTTTCCATTTTAGGCCCAAAAAGGAGAGCACAGGAGAAGTGAGTGAGTCTGGAGCCTCTGTTGTCAAATATGGTCTTAAAGCAGAAAAAATCTTCATGCAGGTTCACTATTTGAAGGTGAGTGTTGTCAGCTGGTTTTTACTAAGATTGCTTTATGATTATCAAAAAGACTTCAGTTTTCTAGATATCAGAAAACTCATAGCTTCTGCCTCAATTTTTTGCAGGGTTATTTTCTTTTACGATCTCTGGCAAGGAAAATAGGAGAGGTCTCATACCTTGCATCTTTACGGAAATTTGTCGTTAAGTTCCATGGGCAGCTTGTTCTTTCTCAGGTATTGTGCTTGTTCCTCACCTTTCAGATAAACAAACAACCCAAATGTTTGGATTGGCTGCCTAAATCATAATTTCTGGTTGTCATGTAAGGGGAGAGGCAATTGTAATTTGGCACTATAGGTAGAATTCCCACCTGGTAGAGGGCAGAACATTTTTTTCATGGTGACACTTGAATCACACCCTGCTACTATCTGATAATATAAACAATGAGGGATATTTTTTTAACATTATACTTCAAAAGGCCAATGTTCATAGGTACTGATGTTCTCAAAGATAGGGTCATTTGCCATACTGGAATTACTGCCTGTGATCTTTTATCATGTGGTTTTTGGTTGTGATCAGTCAAGTCTTTTCCCTGATTCCTCTGTGTTTCTGAGAAGAACTTATATTTCTGAATTTATTTTCTTTCTATCTGCATGCTGTTTCATTCAGTGCTTCTAATTTCACACTATTTCTTATAAGGACAAAGCCAAGTAGGGTTATAAGTAGAAATGTACCTCCTGCTAGGTCTTTCTGTAAAAGTCGTGTAACTACTGGCTCTAGTTTTGTTTTGATTTAGAAAATTACATAGCTCTCTGAGCCCAAAGTTCTAGGAATCCTGTCACTGGTGATGAATCCAGCTTGCACAAACAGCAGTGCAGCTTCTTGCTTCAGTAATGCTGTGAAAACAACCATTCATGGGGGTGTCTGTGAACCAGGTCACTGAACTCATTGTGGTAAAAAAAAATGCCTGGAACAAAACCCACAACACAACAAATATTTAGCATTGCTAGAAGAGCAGTGTGATGACAGTGAGGGGCAAGGGAAGAGAAAAGAGAAGGGCTATAAGTGAGTTTCTGAAACCACCTTCTTTGCTGAAGGTTGAAGGTCTTATGCTTGAAATATTTGAGGATATTCAAGACAGTGATAAATGTTTCCGTGAAACACTTAGTAAGGGCCTCTGATTTTGTGTAACTAAAGTCTAACACTTGCTGTTTCTTCCAGCCCAATGATTTTTTGCTTGCATGCATACTGTTTTGAATTTCACTCTTAAGGGGTGAGATGTATGCCCAGGTATCTTACAAATAGCTTGCAGACTTGTGATTTCTTTTGTATGTCAAGTCACCCAGAAGTTATGAAGTTAAGTAACTCTTAACTCAGCATTTCTGCCCTGTGGGGGAATGTTTCGGGTTTTAAGGGAGTTAACATTGCTGCAGCTGTTTCCTGTGCCATGTTATTGTGACCATAAGCATAGTGTGGAAAATAACAGTGATTATATGAGCCTTGTCTACATTAATGTCCAAAATCATAAAAATTATGCCTCACTATTACACAGCTAGAAAAACTTGGAAAATTACAAAAGTCATAAGACTGCTAACAAGAAGAAGAAGCCTGGCATTTTAAGCTGGTGGTAAGAAAGGTGCTCAGATTTTGGTAAGAAAATGTTAGCTTGTTGCTCCTGGTTGATGTGGGGTGAATTGTGTCAGTAGACTGACAAAATGTTCATCAGGCTGTGCTACTAGTCATGGTAGCTAGCTAGCACATACACTAGAGACTTCTCCTATGAAGTGTCAACTTGTAGCTTAGCTACTCCAGTCTCCTAAGATTAAATACTACATGCAGAAACATCTGTTTTGGTTATTGGATAAAAAACTGCTCAGTGTTTTGTTACTGAATTATTAGAGCAAAAGTTAAACTTTTGTTTCTTCAGCTACTTTTTATTTGGATATGTGCAATATATCCATAACTATTTACTTAATATATGTAAAGAAAAAAAAAAGGTGCTTTTCTTCATTTAGAAATACCACTTGATATGGTGGAAGAGTGTGGTGTATTAAAACTGCTACTGTTTACTTTTGTGGCTTTATCTTGTCTACCATCAGCTTAAATCCAGCTCCTAGTGAAATTATTGGAAAGAGAATTTTAATGCAATACTGGTTTTTGGTCATTGAAAAATGCAAATGTAATAGGGCTATATCCAATTAAAATGCATTTTCTGTCTTTGTAAGAAATCTTTAACATTGCGGTTTTTGTTGGGGCCTGGTATAGGTATATGAGGAATCACAGCAGGAGTTGTAAATGCAGAAGCAATGAAGTCAAGTTAGTACAAAGTTTCTTATTCAAGATAATTCTTGAACAAACATGCTGTCAGTGATTAAATGAATAAAAGATTGAAAATAAATAGAGGTTCAAATGGCAAGTTTAAATATTATAGTGCTATACTTTCACCTTGTCCAGAATAACTGTAAAAGTTCCCAGGAACTGGGAATTGTGGGAATGAGGGAAAGTAAAACAGTGAAAAATTGCCCATGTTATGAATACTAGTCTTGTTTTAAGCTGTGTTTGTAGTAATTTTCCCAGACAGGAACTGCAGGTGCAAGGAAATTACTTCAGATGTGAAACATTAATCAGTTTTTCTTTTTCCTTCATTTTGCTTGCATGCTTAGTAGATTTTTAATAGTAGCTTTATTTTAGTTGAGTTAGCTACAGATGAGTAACGCAAATCTGGAATCTTTGAGAAGGATTTAAAAAAAAAATCCATTTTCTTTTTATGAGAGAATTCACTTACTAATTGCTTTGAGTGAACTTTTGAAATAATGACTGGAGTGTTTTAACTATAAATAAAAAGAAAGAAGTGCAAGTTGCTGGTACTCCTAACAGAGTTAAATCTGTTGTTCCCTTTCATCTTGAAATAAAAATACCTTGGAAACGGAATTGTTTGCGGACTTATAAAGTATAATTTGCTTTATGGTCTGATCCAGAATTTAGTTATGATTACCATAGTCATTCACAAGTCTTTGCTGCTAAGTGCAAAATTACTAAAGCATCTTAAAGAAGTGGCATTAAATCTTAAAAACCCCCACATTACCCTCTGACTTTTCTCCTGGACACTTCTGAACCATTTCATCTGTGGAGGAAGAAAAAGTAGCCTGAGAGTAAAATTTCACTCCAGATAGTTAAAATGACAAAATTATAAACAGCTGAAAAGTCAGACCTATAACGACATGTGTCATGAAGACTTGATAATAGACAAATTATCAAGTTAAAAGCCATGCTAATATGAGGTAACTGGTAATTTGCTTTCCTACTCTGTTTTGGGGCATTGAAATACGAGCAGTTAAAATAAGATATGATAGATTAATCCTAATTTTAAGAAGGCATGTAGAATGACAGTGCCTTTTTTTTGATGTTTGGAAAACAAAGGAGATGCTTAATTTCATAATATAGTATACCGATTATAAAACCATCCACTGTGTGATTGATTATGGAAAGTTGATGGAATCTAACTGGGGAATCTAGCTGCATTAATGTATACACAGTGCAAATAGTGTTAATTAGTACAGTTAATAAAAATAGTTAATTGGTACAGTTATAATTAACTAGTACAGTTAATGACGGCGTTCTTGTCACAGCAACACTGAGCCCAGCACTATGCAATTTACTTTTTGTTATAAGCCAATTTTGCAGCCACTGCAATGCAGCCTGAGTCTCGCTTATAATCTAAAGAAGGAAGGCTTAACTATGTTACCAGTACTTACAATTTGCAATCAATCTTACTTTGATTCCCTAACAATGCTCTAGTCAGACAGAGAAATGGTATCTTTTGTTGACTGTTATGGCATGGTCCACAAATAAAAGATTTCTGCCTTTTAGGAAGCATTCTTCAAGACCTTAGAGAGGAACAATTTGCAATTGTTGCACAGTACAGTCAGCTGTACTTGTATACTGAAGTCAGGAACATTATTAGCCTATGAAACTTGTCTCCACGAAGATTAGTAATAATAAAGCAGATGCACTAGTTTTATGAAACAGCTTCATATTAATAAATCCAATTGTTATGTGATTGATCAAAGGAGTGTATTCTCTCAAAGTGTTTGTCATTAAGATCAAGTTATGTAGAACATACAGTGCCAGAGAACCTTTTAGTGATGTCAGGTGTAACTTTCTTAAGAGGGCTTTTCATACTGGCATGAGTGAGGATGATAGTAATGTTCTTCCACTGGCATTTCATCGTTTTTGTAAAACCATGAAAGAAATTCTAGCTACCTTTTATTTGAAGAGTTTACTCCTTAGGTAATGTGGTAATATCAGCAATATTGCAAATTTTGTCATGGAATGAGGAGTAGATGTAGTCTAATCAGGCATGTGCACTAAGGAAGAAAAAGCTTTATGTAGTTATGTAATGAAGGACAACGTGATAACATAAGCACAGGGAAGAGAGTGTAAACACCCTTAAATTTGGTGTTTCTTAACTTTTGTATGTAAATCTTCAGCCTTTAAGAATTTTAAGTAGTTTGTATGTGTCTAAAAAAGTAGGAACATGGAATTGTGTTAAAATAGTCAGCAGGCTTTTCAAGTGCATTTTCTTTCAGTGTTGACACTCATTGCTTGAATGGGTTGGAAAACTGACAATATAATGTATAGATAAAAATATATATTATGTTGTAATTATATCACCAGTGGATATATAAACTTTTTCTTATCATTCTGTTATCTGTAGTCTTTAATCTCTCACTAGCAATGAAGACACAGGGTTATGGCTTCGTAAACATACTAACTGTGCTCCTCTGTTCATTTTCCAGGATTTTCTTAGCATGCTGTTGGAAGACATTCCTAAACAAAAGCAGTAAGTGATAATTGGGCTAGAGAAGCCAAAGAAATATGTAGAAATAAGATTTTAATATATGCTAGCCAGAAATGTGGTAGCCTGAAGATTCCCATTACATATACACAAAAAATTATGAGACTTGTGGTTATCCTATACCATGGTCTCCCCAAAGAGTGCCTTTAACTTGCATGTCAGGTGATGTTGTGTGTTCATTATGCAATCTTGTGTGTTCATTATGCAATCTGAAGTGCCAGGCATAGCTGCCTGCTCAAACTAACCTGTGATTCTTCTGCCAGCTGCTTTTGGTGCCCTAAAGCAAGGATGCGAGAGCTTTGCTGTGAATCTGGGATACCAGAGAAGATGGATTTTTTCACCTAGTCTGGTACCATCCCCTCTGTCATAGATTGTGCTACATGAGGAAAGATGGAAAACATGAATGTAAATTGAGCGTTAATTGCCTGACATGTGCTTCAAAATACTCCTATGTGTGACTGTGACTGATTGAAGATGATAGTTTTTAGCAGCACTTTGAAGCTTATATTTTGGGTTGTTCTGTGCTATTCCAGGCTGTGCTACAAATAAAGAGTCTTTTGTAGAGGAGCTGTACATGTTACTGTTTTTAAAAATATTCACTTGAAAAATACAGTGTTGAAGGCCAGGATTGCAAAAGTGTTCATAACTCTGTGTGAGTGCTTTGGAGTTAAAAAAAAAAAAATTACATTCATAGAGGTCAAATGTATTAAGTTTCTTAGTGAAACACTTCTGTTTCTAATGGTCGAGGAACAGAGAAGCTAGTTACCATTGAGAAAATACGTTTTGTGTCATCTCAAGTTTAGTTTGGGTGCTTTTATATTCTCCGGTGATGTAGTGGATAATACTCTCTATATATGATTCAATATAATTTCTAGCCCAAATATTATGAGGTATATTATATGGAATAGATGTGAAAGTGATTTTTTAATGGTATGATTATACATTGACGTGTTAAAAAACCCCTCTGTTTTCCTTCCTTTTATTTTTTTGCTTGTGTTTCTCTGAACTCTAAACCCAGTGCAAAATATTGTTGAATAAGCATCCATTTTTCTGCCTAAAAACATATTTAAACTTTCAATGAAAATAATTCAAAAGAAGTGTGGCTCCATTTGTGATGCATCACATTCCAGAATACATGAAAGAAATTTCAGATATATGGTAATTCATTTTACGGTCATATATATAGCATGTCTGAACTATCTATGTCTAAAATTACTTGGCAAATATCAGCAGCAATACAGGGAATCTTGATATACGGAAGGCCTTTATTTCTTATCTGCTGGGAGGATGTTTTTTTCAGTCTTGAATACATTCTAGTACAGAAATACTCTCCTGAGGTAAAAGAAAATTGAGGAAAGATAAAAATCAAGTATTTTTAGAGATCATCTGCTGATGAGTGGGTTTTTTTTGCACAAAGTTTGATGTAGGAATGAAATGCATTTCAATATTAGAGAAAAAATACTGTGTAGCATAAATAAAACCTCTCAGACTGTGCAGTTATACAAAAAAAATTTAAACTGTTTAAACTACATTCTTCAAACTTGACAAATATTAAGTACTCTAATGCACTGTAGTTTGTGATGGAGGCTTGTCTTAATCATAAAAAAGAAAAAGAAAAATAAGTAAAGAGACACTTGTAGTAGGTAATCCAACCAAATCTTGCCCTCAGCTGTGGCAACAGGGGCAAACTATGTAGAACTTGACTTATGGGAGGCTTTTGTAATGAGAACAGGATGAACATTGGCAGAAAACTATCATGAAACAGTGTGGAAATTTTCTGTAGTTATTTTACACTGTAGTAGTGTAACTTTAGCTTTCTACTGTTGGAAACAGAGACTGGATCTAAAAGATTCTCACCTCCAAGTACTTAAATCCTTCAGTTTTTATTCAAAGGATATTATTTTTACTACATTCCCAGTGATGAATAGCTCCAGGATCCAGATGTAACTTTTCACTGATTTTTGCTGCCTTCTGTACTTGGAGGAGGACTGTTCTATGCCTACTTTATAGGGCTACTTCACTTCCTGCTCTGACTCAATTATAATGGCATGTTAGCTGCAGGAATCCATGCTGTGAAGCAGGATCCTTCTGGACTGCAGCTGTGAATACTGAGATCAGATAAGCTGAGCAGTACTTCTGATCCTTTATAATTTCTTAACTTGCCTTTAAGACTGATTATCTGAGTGAAGGACTAATGGAAAGAATGACAAACAAAATATTGATAATTATTCTTCTGTGTTTACAAAGCCTTTTAAAATACTTCTTGCACTGGTTAAAGTCTCACATTATCCCTGCCTTTTTGTGGAAAATCTACAATACATCCCACCGAGAGGTTTTATTTACTTTTTATTTTATGTCACCGAGGCATTTTATTTACTCATAATTTGAAACTTCACTGCATTGAAACAAACCAAACCAAACAAACTAAACACCAAGAAACCCCCTCTTATGTTTCTGTATATCAGAATGCACTAGATTTGATAAAACTCCAGTGGCTCTATTCTCCCCAAGGCTTGCACCCACAGTCTTTGCTGCAAGATGATCCTTTCTACATCTGCCCAACATGTGAGCTGTGCAAAGAATCAGCGTTTGTCCTTGTAACAGAAAGTTTCACCAGTCTTAGATAAATCAGGGCTGCTTCTTGTGCAGCTACTTTATGATTGCAAAATATTTTTGATCAGGTCACTTCTGCTTATAGGGGTTCTCTGCTGGTATTTTTTTACTTAATTTCATTCAATAAAGCAAGCAAATCTACTAATAGGCTATGGTTTTAATAATACATGATAGACAAAGGAAGGCTTGTGTTATAGCTCTGCTGTTTGTACCGTTAATAACCCAGGTTCACTAACCATGTTGCTTGGATGTCTTCACAAATGGTCAATTAAGTGCTAAAATAATGCAATTTCAAGTTACTCAGCTGTATAGGTGTATCTCTTTCTTTCACATGCACATTGTTGTGAATATGGTGATTTTGAATGAGAAAAACAGCTGGTAGGCACCTAACTACTGAAGCAAATGATCGTATAAAATTATTCCCAGTGGTTTTGATTCCTCAGTTTGTTTTTTTTTTAAATGAGCCAAAATATATATGCTGGATAAAATCTAAAGAAAATTTATCTGTAGGAAGGTATGTCTAGTTGACAGAATCCTCAATCATTGTGTTTTGATTTGCTCTAATTATGCGTGCATATTTAGCTGGAATAGCTTACTTTGAAAATTACTGACATGTATAAAGGTATGATGAAGCAGATATGCTTGTTTACATATTTTCAGTTGAATGTGGCAGAGTTTTTGATCTTCCTTTACCTAAACAATTGCATACTTTGATGTTTTTTTCTCCTTGATTTAGTCATTAAGTGGGTTTATGTTAAAATTTGTAGAGTACCTTAGAGCCTTGTGCAGTGAAAACTTTATGTATAGCCATCTTTTAGAACGCCAATTTTGGAATTATCATTAATGTTAGTATTTTACAGACTTTGTTTTAAAATGTTGAATCTGAACTGTGTGTGTGATGTTAGGAAATCATTCCTAGGCTGATTGGGCTTCTCATCTAAAGAAATAAATAAGGGATGAGACAATGATATAATCACATTCTAATTTTACAGTAGGGAACTGTTGTACAAATCAATTGAAGAAGCTTGGTCTTGTAAGAGTTAGTGCTAGTCAACTCAACACAGATCCCACTGTTCAGTACCTTAAGCAGAAGGCTGTTCAGGAATTCACACAAACACCAGATTTAAGTCCTTACAGATGCTTAACTGCAATGTAAGCAGGTGGTAAATGCCCTTACTGAACTGCAGCCTCTACAAATATCAGGCTCTCTGTTCTTTCTCTAGGACACTTGTTTTGAGATAGCAGTCTGTTTGTGATTATTTTTTGGGGATTATTTCTAAGTCAAACAATTTAGCAGAAGCATTTCCAACATCTTCATAGTTCTTCAGCACTGACAATTAAGAGATTCAGAGCAGATCTTTGCAATAGTCTGCTAATTACTATTGTATATTTTTAAAAAATAGTGAATGTTGCTTAAACAAGTTGCTTTTTTGATAGGTGCCCACAAGAATATCCTAATTTGGAATTATAAAAAGTACTTGTGTGCAAGTACAAACAAAGAAGATTGCATATTTTCGTATGACAGGTGTTTTTCTGAAACTTTGGGTGCTGCAGGCAGAGAAAAAGAAGTGTTACTGGTTTTGCTCTTGAGAAAAATGACAAAGTTTTAGAAGAGACTGAGAAACTTTCTAGTGGTTTATGGCTGGGTTGGTGTAGTGTCAGAACAGTGTGATTCCCCTGAGTGTTATAAGCTCATTTCAAAGTCAGTTTTTGAAATTAAATAGAGGGTATACTAAACAGCTCTGCATAGCAAATATAACATAGGTTATTTTGCAGAGATTTTTTTCTCACATTATAGGTTTAGTTTCTGGGGATAAGGGAAAAAGGGGATTAGCTGGCATGGTGAAGCTGTGTTCCTTATGCCTTGGTAAGACAAATTAAATGTGTGACTAAGGGAATTTTTCTCAGCTCCTTAGTGCTTAGAACACTAAGCTGTATTGGGTTTAATTCATACAACAACAAATAACAAAAATTTTTATCCTGCTTCTTGAGACAGAATGCTTATGCTTCTTGAGACTGAGTAAATGGTATAGTCCAAGTGATCTACCTTTGCTTATATAACATTTTGGTATCCAGTTTTAAGCTAGTTCTGTATGCACCTTTTTTAGTAACCAGACAGAAATAAGAAATCCAGACCATCTTCTTCTGGGGAAGTAAATTGGCTGACTGGAAATATTTCTCTTTATCACTCTTCCCAATCAAGAGACTTAGCTAACCTGACTTAAGACTAGACACCAATTTTTAGAGCACAGTGGTAAGATGAAGATAATTATAGTCTGAGGGATTAGCAGTCAAATATTCTAAATTTAATAAGTCAGCAAAAATAACAAGGAACAAGTCTAGATGTTTAGTCTTTTGTTTTAATACACTACACAA